AAAAAAAAAAAAAAAAAAAAAAAAAAAAAAAAAAACACACACACACACACACATATACATATATATATATATATATATATGTATATATATATTTTTTTTTTTTTTTTTTAAGAATTTGCATTAAGATTAAAAAAAATTTGACTGTCAATTTTCACCTGCTTTAATTTAGTAAAAAAATCTTCTTTAAGCAACCTTCTGCTATCTGATTATCAATCGATAATATTAATAATAATCAACAGATTAATATATTTGCAAAATAATCGTTAGTTGCAGCCCTAAATGACATATACTACAATATTTATATCATGAGTACCAAGTCTAATGGTTCACATTTTATGCACTTTTTCTTTCATCAATCAGTGGCGAGCCAACAGTAAAACACAGTAGAGTTACCACCATGGTTTGAGGCTGTGGATTAAACTGTTGGGTTTCATGATCCATATTTTTGGGAAATAAACTCAGGAAAATAAATTTGACTGAAACCGTTGCATTTTTCTGCATTTCTGAAGATCTGCCAATGTGGTCAAAATTGAACATGGAGACAAAATAGAGACAATGCGACGTTGTGAGTCATAGTTTGGTCTCCCTAGAGCCTGGCCTTATTATTAAAGCAGTGTGGGCTCCTCCTGACAGAAAGGCAAACAAAAGGCAGCCCACATCAAAGCAGATTTAAAATGTTCAACTATTAAAAAAAAAAAAAAAAAAGTTTCCTCAAAGAATTGTTTATGGTCATTAAAAAAATTAAAATCAAAACTTGTTGCTTCATAAAGTGTAAAATAATTCTGGTGAAATTTTCCTCCACTTCTTCGCACCAAAAGCAATAATGTTAAAAAACACAAAAGGGTGCAGCCTGCTAACACTGGATGCAAGGTTTCAGCTTTAGCCACAGCTGCTGAAACAAGAACTGAGGAAGTAAATACTTCCCTTTCTTAGCCCACTGAATCATTAGCAGCTGACTAGATTATTTGTTTGAACCGATCCTGCATACCACAGAGACAGTACCGGCTACTGTAAAGCCGATCCCTGAGAGGCGTTAAACACTCGACATGCAGCAGGTTGGTTCAGAAAGCAGGGTCTGTTTATCGGAACGACTCAGATGTGTAAATTACAACATTAAATCCTGCATGTGAAGTGAAGGCCTTGCAGCCAATCAGCCATGTTGCCCTTTGAGCAGAAGGCTGGACGGCCACTTTCTCTACATTATCGATAGTTTTTAAGACGAGCAAAGCTCAGCTGGGATCAGCTGCAGCTTTACATCAACATTGGCTTATAGGGGCAGATGACCGCAAAGAAGAGGGAGACAAAGAGAGTCCTGCTGTGACAGTGGGCTTTGAGTGACAGACCGCCTGCCGGCGCGCGGTGATAAATAAGGCTGTGTTGCCTACAGCTGACCGACATGATGCTGAGAGATTCTGGGTGGTGGACAGTGACAGCATGAACATGGCGCTGCTTCTGGTGTTCATTCACTGCGTTCAAAGCTGCTCTCAGAGCTTAAACAATCAGCAACAATGTGCAGAGCTAGCCTAATAAAGCATGCTTTCATTAGCCGTCAGCCTCCCACATGCTAAAGCTTTCCTACACTCACAAAGCCGTCAATCATCCAAGCAATGATAGCTTATTTATTCACTGTAGCAAGGAATTTATTTTTCTGTGGCATCTTTGTGTTGAGACTTTATTTTAATTTATAATTTTCAACAGAATACTAAAGGACAAAAACAAGATGTGCCCTCCTGAAGGACAACAGCAATATCTAACTTTTACAAATCTAACAGAGATAAGCTGAGAATGAACACTGTTATTATTTATAAAAGATGCCTTTATATATGTAAAAAAACAAAAACATTTGATCATGTTAAAATAAAGAGTATATTCACCAAGTATCCGTTCTGATCGCTGCATCTACAGCCATCGCTACAGCTAGAAAAACACAACGCTGGGCGGTTATAAAGGAGTTTTAAACGCTGATGCGTATGTGGACATCTCAACCAATCCCAACTCTTCTTGGACTCGAACTTAGGTTTATTTTTGTCATTTTGTAAACACAAGTGTAGACAATTAGGAACTTCTACAGGGTAGCATTGCCATTTTAGGAAAATGTTTTCTCCAGAGCTTTCAGCATACTTAAGACTGACCCCCTGTTCATACCAAGAGGGGAACCGGACGTTGGTCTTGAACCTGAACTCTTCCTTCACATGGAACATCTCTTTTAAGAGGCTAACACA